ATAATACATCGTGTAGCATATCCTATACATATTTATTTCTTTCTCTAACTTTCTAAGCAATTCACTGATTGACAGTCCACATTAAATGTTTCTCTTTAGTAGATGAATTCTCTACGCAACCTTATTACTCAGTTTATATTAATTAAGCAATGGCGTTTATTAACTGTAGTAACAAGTTGTCATTAACTACGACACAATTAATAAGTTAGCAAGGTAATTTGCTCTTGGTTTGATTAAGGTTTAATCTTTTGGACGTTAATTCAATAAAATGGTCAACGAAAAAGAGTAATATATTCATATTGGACAGCAATTAGAGGCTATAATTTGCATATAGTTTAATTGTTTCACTGATTCTAATTAGAAGTAGGATTATTGAAACAATACAGCCAAAGCTTTATTTAAAAAAAAACAACTGTTTGACAGTGTTAATTACACGGCAAAGGGTTTGTAAAAAACTGCAAAAGGCTGAGCAAACTAATCATTTTAAGCTCTGTCTAATTGTATGCCCATATATATTCATGATGTGCCTATATATGGTCATGGTGTGATGTCATCATTACCATATTCAGGAATGCCACATGTTTTTACTCTCTATATCTATGACATGATAGAAGATCATAGCACGACACTTCTTAAATTATTATCATTTGTTTATAAAAGTGGAGTAGTGAATTTGAAAACAATAATAATTTATATTGACTAAAACAAATATATATACATAAATACCTATAAATATTTATTTATATTTAGTTTTTAATCGGTATATAATGTGAAAGAAATAAATGCTGGTTTGATTTGATTTGATTTGAATTGAGAAGTGTAGATAGGAGGGAAAAGCGATGGGGGAGATGAAGTGATAAAATATAATGGTGAAAATAGAGAGACCTTCTATAGGCAACATTTATAATAGTAAATTAATTAATGTTTTTTTGTCGTATTTTATGTAGTTTTTTTTTTTTAATTGTTTAGTTGTAATTATATCATTCTTTATTGTTTCTTACTTCATTCATCGAGCCTTCTTAAGCTTTCACATTTATTCACCAATCGTTGGTGGCTTACCCAATAGACCTTTCCGGAATGTCGATCAAACTGAACAACTGACTAATCAGAACAGCGCTAGGAATACGCGCGCGTCTCAAGAACATACGTGTTGTCCCGCATGTTCGCGTCTTGTGGGACCTTAGCAACAATATCCAAGGGGCGGGGTTTAGCGAAAAGGCCCGTTTGTGAGTGAAGGTTGAGATGTTTTTCCAGTTTGGACTTAAAAATTCATGTACTGTCAAAACACTATGTCACTAGGCTATTAAATGCATTCCACTTTTAAATAATATGAGAAAAGGTGCTTTCGATGCATAGTCCTGGTGTGCTGTTTTGCAACCTTATAATTTTGTCCTCTGGTTATTGAATCCTTAAAAAAAAAAAATAATCATTTGGATTTACGTTATCAAAACCTTTTACCATTTTAAAGAGTTATTAAACAGGCACGCGCTCTTCTATATAGTAGGCCAATGCAAGTTTGTTACTCATAATAATAAATTTACGATGATATACACTATCCGTTTCATCGTAATTATCATTACCATTATGAACTAAAACGGTCGTAGTCGGCAGGATTCGAACCTGCGCGGGGAGACCCCAACAGATTTCTAGTCTATCGCCTTAATCGCTCGGCTACAACTACGGTACTTCCTGTCATAAGTTTACTAATTGATTTTAAGCGAATAACAGGTCAACACTACGAACATCGGAATTTACTTTCTTGTGCTGTTAGTTTCGTAAATTTCAATTCACTCTTTAAGTACAACCATCAGCTAATAAATTGTTTTTGTATTTTTGAATGTATTTTTAGGTTTGCAAGGACGTTGTACGGTATCCAAAGCATTGATGATGAAGATTTAAAAAGGAAGCTCTATACCGCAGTCATGGTGATGATGTAAAATATGTAAATGGCACAGTAATAATGTAGACAACATGATGTGTTACCGTAAATAGTGAAATATCCGTATTTTTAAAGGCGAAAATTATATCTATTGATTCCATTAGTGTATTATCTAATTATAATAAATTAAAAGGCAAAATTACTGGAAAACAACAACGGTGCACCGGGAAACTATGGCTGGATCTCGGTAGAGATATAAACTTATTAAGAAAAATCTAAATAAAACAAGAGCTTTCGGACAACACTAGTCATTTCTCAGTGACGTTTTGATGTGCAATAAGTAGATTATTCTTGAGGTCGGGGTTCATTTCACTTGTGTCCCAGAGTAAGGGCACCATATATACGTTGCTACCCAACTCTTATTAATGGGTACCAGCAAATTGCTGGGAGTCACCAGTGGTTGACCAGCGTCTCACCCAGAGGGAGTGTCCGCTTCCTGCTATAGAAGCTGGAAAAAAGATCCAGCCCTATGAGCCCTAGTGGTTTGGAAAGGATTTACTACTTTTACTAACTGTTATTAATAAACTCGATGAATAAATTCTAATTCCATATAATGCAATATCTAAATTGCAAAATTTGTATATTTAAGTAAGCATTATATTTCAATTAAAAATAAAACAAACAAAATATTTAATTAATTGTTCTTTGATTACCGTAATAAAAAATAAATAAATTGAAGTTAGTACAGTAAACCAGTAAAAACTGAATAATCAATTTAGACTACAAAATTTCATATTCAAAAATATGTGACATGCTCAAATATGGTTATGATGACATCACATCATGACCATATATAGGCACATCATGACTGTATATAGGCACATCATGACCATATATAGGCACATCATGACCATATATAGGCACAGCATTACTATATCGGCATATTTTGTAGTCAACTCGCAAATCATATGACCGAAAATAAGTTATGGGATGTTCATCCATCCGCCTATCGACCATATCATAGCACTGAAAGTGCTTTAATTAAGGTGAAGAATGATATCATGCTTTTATTAGACAAGGGTCATATTGTTCTATTTTTATCATTAGATTTATCATCAGCATTTGATACGATAGATAGGGAAATCTTGATGAAACGATTGTCCACGAGGTTAGGAGTTCGAGATGTAGCATTAAAGTGGTTTCGTTCATACCTTGAAACTTGGAAAACTTGTGTAGAAATAAATGGCACACAATCAGAGATAGTTAGTAATACAGTAGGGTTACCACAGGGATCGGTATTTGGGCCTATAGGTTACACCTGTCTCTTATACACATCTATCCAATATTTTTCAAATTTAGTTGCAACAATTCAAACTGAACTTTTAATTAGTGGGGATGTTCAACCTAATCCAGGTCCTCGATGTTTAATAAACAAAATAAACAGGGATTCTGATCAACATTTAAAACCAGAGTTATGCTACAATAGAGATGAATTGTTTAATTTGAAGCCAGTGAGGCTAATTAGACTGCCGAATAATTTATGGTCAAACATTTACTCACTTGGAATAGCGAAAACATGTCATCGGGGAAAAAAAGCTGGTAGACGCAAGCGGAGAAACATTCCTGTACATATAACAGTAAGAACATCTGATATAAAAAGTTTAAAGAAGTCATGTACTCTCTAGACTAGATTATTGTAATGGTCTCCTTACAGGGGTTACCCAGGCACACATTAGGAAACTACAAAGTCTTCAGAATTGGTCTGCACGTCTCATATATCGTGAAGACAGACGTATTGATGCCAGACAACTGATTAATTCCCTTCACTGGCTACCCATCAAAGAACGCATTTTATTTAAAATTCTTTTATTTGTGTTTAAATTTTTCAATGATCAAGCACCAATATACTTCAGTAGTTGTTTAAAAGTTCATCATAAATTACGACCAAATCTTCGCTCTGAATCAGACCCTTTTCGCCTTTCATGCCCCTTAGTTCATAGCAGATCAGGTGATCGTTCCTTTAGTGTAACAGCGGCCATAGAATGGAATAAACTCCCTACAGTTATTATACACATCTATGTTGAATCTTTTAAAAAACTACTGAAAACATATCTTTTTTCAAAATTAACTTGAGCTTATTGCTTCAAATCATTATTCAACTCTGTAAACGCTATGATATAGTTTTCTATGAATAGCGTATCTAAATACTAAATACTACTAAATACATATAACAGCTTTTGTTGTTTTTTTTTTGTCAAAGGAAATTTGATAATCTGGACAGAGATTTAATAATGTTGGTAATTTATAACTTTATATAATTTTATTGTTTCTTTTAAGTAATATTTTTAATCTGTATTTTTTTATTTGTAAAAATGAGGTAGTGTGATGTCTGATTTGTTCTTGCTTTATAACATTATTTTTGCAATTCAGCTATAGCTGCAATAGAATACTATATATATATAAATAAATATATATATATATCATTATATAAGAATATTATATATATATATATCATATACTTTTGTTAGATGCATTACTACATTTGTGTGTATATATATAATATATTTATAATATATATATATATATATATATATATTTATTTATATATATAAATTATGTAACAAAATACCTCTGAATAGATTCGAACCCTTATATACACTATATTTCGCAATCACAGATTCCATTTTTTACCGTTTAAAATGTATATACATGTATAAAGCATCACCGCTAGCAATTATATATATATATAAACGAAACAAAGATACGAATACGGCGGTAGATAACCTGTTTTCTGTTAAATGAGCAGTCCAGTTGTATTTATAGGAGTTTTCCAGAATTTACCAAAAGCTGCAGGTCTATATCTTTAATCTTAAAAAAACGGAACAATAAAACTGTATCAGCAATTTTTTTTCCATTGTTTACAACAACAATATTATTCCTCATTATTCGTCTTGTGTATCCGGTGATAATTTCCTATCTATTCTTTGGAGAACAATCACTTGCCGACCGAACTAATTTACACTTGGGGTTTTCGAATTAATACGTGTACTAATAGTTAAGTATTATGTTAAAAGTTGTACCGTAGTGCATATTAGTGGCCCCAACTTTTTGATTTGAAGTAAAAAAAAAACAAACAAACAAACAAACAAAAACAAAACAAAACAAAACAAAACAAACAAAAAACCACTAAAAAAAAAAAAAAAAAAAAGAACAATGAATGTTATAAAAATGTATGGGTAATTGTTTTAAAATACGTATTTTATCTGTTGTTCTGCAATTCATTTATATATTTCAATGTACTGTATATATATTACTTTGACAATATTGAATGGTTGTTGTTGCTAAGTATTTTGATTTGTTATCCATTAGTAATTGTATATGTAGTGTTTATCTTGTACTTTTTTTAATGATATTTGGTAATGTGTTATATAATATATATATTTATATATATATTAATGTATCATGTAGATAATGTTTATATGGATATAATTTAAATAAATCAAATAGAAATAATCTATATATAATCTATGATTTATATATAATGATGTTTATATTATATTAATGTATCAAATAGATAATATTTATTTAACATAAATGTATAAAATTCAAATAAATCAAATAAAAATAATCTATATCATTATTTGTGATCCCAGTGCAAAGCAGTAAAGTAAAAATGCTTCCAAAATAAAACCTTCATATTCTGTTACACACTATACTAATGTAATATACAACTATTAAATAATATTATTGACATCATAGACATGTAGTAATTCTTATTTAAACAATGTTTTAAATAAAATGATGTATATATATATAATATATATATATATATATATATATATACATACATACATACACCCATACATACATACATACATACATTAAAAATACCTACGATTAAGATATATTATGTACGTTACGTTTCAGTAAGTTTCACGAATTGCCTTTATAAATTAAATATAAACTAAATCAGAGTACGAAATAAACGGAAATCACTGTGCATGGTATACTAATTTTGATGTATTTTAATAGTAGGTATTTTTAATGTAAATTATTTTAATAAGTAGGCCTATTTTTTATATTTTAAGACGATTTTGTACTGTTTTATGGATGCTTTTGTACCGTAGATCCTTATAAAGAGCG